TGGGCGATATGTAGATTCTGCGCCCATCAGAGAGGATTGATGAGGAAAGATTTAAAAGGTTATTTCAAGAATTGAAATCTGGAGATCTGTTTGCTACCCACAATGGTGAGCCTCTCATCTATCGAATGTTGTTGGAACATGGCCGCCACCTAATCTTTGTCCAAATAAGAACATTGCGACTATACAACTTCATTCTGGTTTCTGACACATATGCTTCCGTATATAGTGATCAATTGACCAGATTGATAAATGGAGTCCTCAATAAATAGTGTGGGAATAACAATTTTCAAAAGTTAGAACACTATTTAGGAAATGGTGGCAGGAAAGTTAATATTCTTCAACAAGTGCAACCAGAGCAATAACAGCAGCCAACACAGTAGTAACTAGTGCAGTAGCGGCAATAGCAACATTGGCAGCAACAGCCACACAGCTGGCAGAGTAGGAGCAGCAACAGCCAGCACAGCAGCCACGCTAGGTATGCTATCGTGGGAGAGGGCAGCAGTAGTCACAGCAATTGGCAGAGCAAGAGTAGCAGTAGCAACTGGCAGAGCAAGAGCAATAGTAGCCGATGCAATAGCCACGCCAGATATGCTATCATAGGAGAGGGCAACAACAGCATCAGCATCAGCAGCAACAGCTGCAGCAACTGCTAGAGTAGGAGTAGCAGCAGGTTCGATGCTTGCATGAGAAAGAATTACAGAAACCATGCAACCCTAAGATCAATGACCACCCTGTTTCTTTAGTGTTTAGGGTTTTTCAATATTCTTGGTTGTTAGAGCTTATTCCAAAGAATATAAAAGGCGCTACCGATTGAGTAAACACGGTAAGGAACATAGAGTTACTAGATTCAAGACTTGCATACTATAAACACTTGCTCATGCTCTTCTGAGAGCTATTGGTGCTACTTTTGGTAGAGTTATTTTAGAGTGGAGCGAAGTGCCTAAAAATCCCTTTCCTTTGCCTCCCCTCCTTGAGAGCAAGTGGAATTTAATTGAGACAGTTTTAAACTACAAAAAGAACTTCTAAAGCACTTAAAGAACAATTGAAATTTTTCTGAGTGTAGATGAAATTGTTTTCAAGAGTACTGGGAGAATGAAAATAGTGTCCCTTTTCAAAGTGGAGAGATAGTGATATACCTATCAAAGAGGATTGATTGGGAGAGATTTAAAAAGTTATTTTAAGAGTTGAAACTTGGAGATTTGTTTGTGTAAGCAACCAAAGGGAATGACTTGAGATACGATCCATGGGGTTCAAATATAGAGGGAAAGGGCCCATGAACAAGAGTGCACCCCCTTTTCCAATCGGTTAAGGGTCTTGGGATATTTGGGGTTAAGCGTCCTTGGGTTTGAATAGTACTGGGCTGGGTGACCTCCCGGGAAGTCCAAACTCAGGAGCGCTTACATTTGGTATCAGAGAGGTTTCAGGTCCGACTCTGTTGGTTGGCTAAGGGAATCACACCACATGTTGATTGACATCTGGCTGGTCCAGTTTGCTCCCGCTGGGCTCGACCCGAGGGGTAGGGTGTCAAGAGAGCGAGGCTCTCGGGAGAGCTGCGGCTCTCAGCTTCCGTTCACGAGGGCGTGAACTTGCAGGGAAGCGTGGTGGATTGTAAGCAACCAAAGGGAATGACTTGAGATACGATCCATGGGGTTCAAATATAGAGGGAAAGGGCCCATGAACAAGAGTGCACCCCCTTTTCCAATCGGTTAAGGGTCTTGGGATATTTGGGGTTAAGCGTCCTTGGGTTTGAATAGTACTGGGCTGGGTGACCTCCCGGGAAGTCCAAACTCAGGAGCGCTTACAGTTTGCTTGAAGATTTTTAACCCACAACGGTGAGCATCTCATCTATCAAATGTTGTTGGACCATGGCTGCCACCTAATCTTTGTCCAAACAAGAACATTGCAACTATACAACTTCATTATGGTTTTTGACACATATGCTTCCTTATATAGTGATCAATTGACTAGATTAATAAATGGACTCCTCAATGAATAGTGTGGGAACAACAATTTTCAAAAGTTAGAACACTATTTAGGAAATGGTGGCAAGAAAGTTGATACTCTTCAACAAGTGCAAGCAAAGCAACAGCAGCAATAGTAGCATCAGGAGTAGTAGCCACACAACTGGCAGAGCAAGAGTAGCAATAGCCAACACAACAACCACGCTAGGTATGCTATCATAGGAGAGAGCAACAATAGTCACAGCAACTAGTGGAGCAAGAGTAGCATCAACAATTGGCGGAGCAAGAGTAGCAGCAGCCGATACAGCAGCCACACCAGGTATGCTATTGTAGGAGAGGGCAGTAGCAGCATTAGCATCAACAACAAAAACTGTAGCAACTGCCAGAGTAGGAGCAACAGTAGCTCTAGCTAGAGGTCACAGGTTTGATGCTTGCATGAGAAAGAATTACCGAAACCATGCAACCCTAAGATCAATTGGTTGTTATGGCTTATTCCAAAGAATATAGAAGGCGTTATCAATTGAGTAGATGCAGTAAGGAGCATAGAGTTAAGAGATTCAAGACTCACATACTGTGAGCACTTCCTTGTGCTACTCATGCTACTTGCATTCTTCTAAGAGCTATTGGTGTTGCTTTCGGTAGACCTATTTTGGAGTGGAGTGAAGTGCCTACAAATCCCTTTCTTCTGCCTCCCCTCCCTGAGAGCGAGCGAAATTTAATCAAGAGAGTTTTAAAGTATATAAAGAACTTTTAAACTACTTAAAGAATGGTCAAATTTTTTCTGAGTGTAGATGAAGTTGTTTTTAGTTGTATTAGGAGAATGAAAATAGTATCCCTTTTCAAAGTGGAGAGACAGTGATATACCCATTAGAGAGGATTGATGGGGAGAGATTTAAAAAGTTATTTCAAGAGTTAAAATCTAAAGATTTGTTTGCTTGAAGATTTCTTGCCTACAATAGTGAGCTTCTCATCCATCGAATGTTGCTAGAACATGGCCGCCACCTAATCTTTGTCCAAACAAACTATACAACTTCATTCTAGTTTCTGACACATATGCTTCTGTATATGGTGATCAATTGACCAGATTGATAAATGGACTCCTTGATGAATAGTGTGGGAACAACGATTTTCAAAAGTTAGAACACTATTTAGGAAATGGTGGCAGGAAAATTGATACTCTTTAACAAGTGCAAGTAGAGTAGCAGCAGCAGCCAGCACAGCAACGGCAATAGTAGCATCGGCAGCAGTAGCCACACAACTAGCAAAGCAGGAGCAACAGCAGCTAGCATAGCAACCACGCTAGGTATGCTATCACAGGAGAGGGCAGTAGTAGTCGCAGCAACTAGCAGAGCAAAAGGAGCAGCAACCACGCCAGGTATGCTATCGTAGGAGAGGGTAGCAGTAGCATCAGCATCAGTAGCAACAGCTGCAGTAGCTGCCAAAGTAGGAGCAACAGCAGCCCTCACTAGAGGTTGCAGGTTCGATGCTTACATGAGAAAGAATTATCGAAACCATGCAGCCCTAAGGTCAACGGATGCCCTTTTTCTTTATTGTTTAGGGTTTTTCAATGTTCTTGGTTGTTAGGGCTTATTCCAAAGAATACAAAAGGTGTTGTCGACTGAGTAGACGCAGTAAGGAACATAGAGTTAAAAATTCAAAACTCGCATATTACGAGCACTTGCTCACGCTCTTCTGAGAGCTATTGGTGCTACTTTTGGTAGACCTATTTTGGAGTGGAGTGAAGTGCCTAAAAATCCCTTTCCTTTGCCTCCCCTCCCTAAGAGTGAGCGGAATCTAATCAAGAGAGTTTTAAACTATTTAAAAGACTTTTAAAGTACTTAAAGAATTATTGAAATTTTTTTGAGTGTAGATAAAGTTCTTTTTGAGGGTATTGGGACAATGAAAATAGTGTCCCTTTTCAAAGTGGAGAGATAGTGATATACCCATCAGAGAGGATTGATGGGGAGAGATTTGAAAAGTTACTTCAAGAGTTGAAATCTGGAGATCTGTTTGCTTTGGGATTTCCTACCCACGATGGTGAGCCTCTCATCTATCGAATGTTGCTGGAATATGGCCGCCACTTAATCTTTGTCCAAATAAGAACATTGCAACTATACAGCTTCATTTTTGTTTCTGACACATATGCTTCCATACATGGTGATCAATTGACTAGATTGATAAATAGACTCCTCGATGAATAGTGTGGGAATAACGATTTTCAAAAGTTAGAATACTATTTAAGAAATGGTGGCAGGAAAGTAGATATTCTTCAGCAAGTGCAAGCGAGGCAGCAGTAGCTAACACAGCAGTGGCAGCAGCAGCATCGGCAAGAGCAGCGGCACGGTTGGCAAAGCAGGAGCAACAATAGTAGTAGCAGCCGACACAGCAGCCACACTAGGTATGCTATTCCACTACAAATGGCAAAGCAGCAGCAGCAGCAGCTGAGATAGGAGCCAGCGCAGTAGCCAAATATGCTATTGCAGTATAGAGAAGTGCACAAGTGTGACTCCAATTATCAACAACAAGTTGATGCTCTATGATTGTTTTTCCTTCATTCATGAGTTCCAAGGCTGACATGGTTGCTACTAGTGTGCTGCCAATTGATAAGATGACAGATTACAAGGGTCTGATTCAGGTTATTGTGAATCAAATCCCACGGAGGCAGCTGGAAGAGACTTATGGCTTGCTCCTGCTGAAGCCAAGGCCATATTAGGATCAAAATAGGCCTCCTACTGCTGGCGAGCTTCTCAAGTCATATGCTCAATCGCGCGGCTATGTAGCTTTGAGAGGTCTTCTAGATGAGACACAATCTGCTCTCAAGGACTACCTCAATGGTAAGCTTTTAAACTACCATACTCCACCAGACGACGACACCACAAGTGACAATGAAAGCAACAACGATGATGAGAAGCTGGTGGTGTGACGTTGACAATCTCTCAGGAGAAGAGGACGAAGAAGACGAAGAAGGAGAAGAAGAAGAAGAAGGATCAAAAACAGCTACAGCTACTGGTGAATCCAATCTCAAAGCTGGACTGGATGTCCAAAAGCTTTTAACGCACACATAAGTAAAAGGTTAGAGGCCTGGTACACATGGCAAAATTATGCGATGCCACGTGGAGGTACTAAGCTTGTGCACGTGGCAAAATGCAATGCTGCCAAGTCGGAAGTACTTCTAGGCTAAGAAAGCCAAAACTTCTATTGCAGTTTTAACATTGATCCGCCTACTGGGCTTTTCTCTGATTCTCGCTTTTGATCTTGATGTCACCCTGTTCTACAGCAACCACCACAAATGGATGAGTATAAATGTGTAAACATACCCCCGTCTTGTCGCAATATCATTTGGAGTGGATTATTAAGGACTTATTAAGTGGATCTGTCTCTCCATAGCGTTTATACTGGAGCATATTCGGTATCGCCGAATAAAGGGATCTTCCATTCACGCAGCTCCTTCATAGCAATCTGCAAAGAACTCCATCACTCCACACAAATTCCTTTTCAGAGTTTCGATACCTCGAGTGGATCTGTCTCGCCCTCGAGTTCCACCATCACTGGAGCGTTAATACTGTCACGAAAAAGAAAAAGAAAAGAACTTTAGAGTTCTCACTAGCCAGACCAAACGCGAGAGGACTCGCTCACCTGATTTGCAAAGCCCGTGTGCCCAGAACGCGAGCTCTCTCATACTTGGTCATATACTTGGTTGTCTTCCCGGGTTCTGTTCGCTCTCCGCCTCTTGGAATTCCCCATCGCCGCCAAATTCCGGCGCCTCCTCATTGTTTTCTTGCTCCTCAACCTCTTCCTTGAAGTGCAATCGAATCGCTGCTTGAAATGGAGCGAACTCCAGAGGCTCATCGTAGCTGCAAAGTGCAGAGATCTGGCGACTTACTCCTCGCCGCCGCCATCGTAATCATTGTGGTGATTCCTTTCTTCTAGCTACAAAACCTCCCCTCTAGGTCCCAAAATCTTGGCCAGCAGCGAATATGCCATGGAAGTTTGCGGTTCGATTTCCATGACGCGCTGCGCCACGCCGCGCCTCTCTCCATGTCGCAAGCAACCGTACAGCTCCCCAAGAGCGTACGGTACTCGACGATCCCCGGCTCGAATCCCATCCCCTTGTCCACCAATTCCTCTGCCTCCTCGAGCCGCCCGGATCGCCCAAGAACATCCACAATCGAGCAGTGGTGATCGGGCGTGATCTTGACGCCGAATTCGAGCACGATTGATGCGCAAGCGTCCCAGATACTTCACTCTCGATCGCAACCACCGCCGTGACTGCACAGGAAGAGCATGTTGGTGAATGTGACATCGTTGGGTCTCACTCCCTCGAGGATCATGGCGGGGCCGGAGCTCCAATCGCCATGCTTGGCCTGCTCTTAGAAGAGAACCCTTTCTTAAAGCTATTGGTTTGAGTTTGAGCTACGATGAAAACAAGGCAAAGGTGGGTATGAGATGATTGAAGACAAGGATGCAGTGGATTTTTTGCGATGTGTGTGAGTAAATTCTTTTGCCAAACTTGTATTGGCCCTTATCACAAAAGCACGATGATGAAAGCGACTTATTTTGGTATGATTGGCAGCAACTAACAAGGCAAGCATTTCCTCCCCAGTCCATAGCCCAGCGCAATGGCAACAGCTCCAAGACCAATGGCAAGTCCAACGCCGATGCATGCCAGCCCATCCCGCGCAGCTCCTCGCCCGTCGACAGAACTGCCCAGTGACTTCCCTCCAGCAGAAAGAGCTTCTTTTGCTTCCACATTCTTCGGAGCGCTCTTGAGAAGAAGCATGCTGTAGCCCGCAATGATCGTGGCCCCAATGCTGATCACAACTTGCCAGGAACACATTGTGAAAACCCTAAAATTGTCTTGCCAACTTCTTCGCACGTCAACCCAGGGAAACCTTAGAGCTTAGTATTAAAACTATTTTCAACCGATTTTGACATATAGCTAGGGTTGATGGCGAGAAGGATCCTGCAGTGCGCTGCCAAAGCTGAGAACCTGTTCTACAACAGAAAGAAGGAGCTTGATGATCTCACTAAGCTGTGCAAGACCGGTAGTATGGTGCTGATCACTGGTCCACAGGACTCAGGAAGTCTGCTTTCCTGTCAGAGTTTGCGAGGAGGCAGGAGATAAGTGGCCAAGGCCACCCTATCTACCTCAACATGAGGGCAGGAACATTCAGCACTGCAGCCAACTTTGCAAAGGAGCTCAAGTCTCAGCTGAATCCCTTTCTGGCAGCAGCGGCTGAGTATGCCAAGACCATCCCAACGGTGGACAATGTTGCAGCCTCTGCAGGTGGGCTAAGCGAACACATTCAAGCTGTGGAGCGCACTCCGGATACAGATTTCCAGGCTTTATTGAAAAGCATCTGCGGCCTTCTATTCTCTTGGAGACGTTTAGCATCTCGCAAAGACGCAGCCCTCCCGACCTTGATCATTGACGAGGCACACAGACTCCTCGAGTGGAGCCTTGCACCGAAGGAGCAACAACACCTAAGGACCTTGGTGGCTTATTTCATCATGGTTACCAAAGAGCGCCAGGAGGCCAATGTGATTCTCTGCACCTCAGAAGACTTCTTCAGATTCTGGCTTCACTTGCATGTTGGCCCCAAGAGGTACCAGCCGCGGATGGTCAGTGACCTTACTGAGGAGCAGGCTCGGGAATTTTTCCTGATGGCATTACTTGACGGCTGGGTTGCCGATGGATACAAGTTTCCAGAGGATTTGTGGAAGGAGATTTTTTCTTTCGTTGGTGGAAGAACGTTGCTCTTAAGTCGCCTGGCGCTGAATCTGAGTTCGTATCTGGAGGACGAGTCTCTCTTACGAAAAGCATGGGCGTCCCAGTGCAAGATACTGGTGGACGCAACTCGCCAAATAGTTGAAATGGGCTTCGGACCTATGGACTTTCAAGGCAACTTGGACAGCGATAGACCGTGCTGGAACGTCGAAGACTACGAAGCAGTGTTGAGGGAACTGACACGGGCTGAGGGTGGTGTCGTCTCTGTGCAGTACCTCATGGGCTACAAAATAATTTCCAAGGCGGCTCTCCACAGCTTGGTACAGCACAACTTCCTGCACTATCGTTCTTTCTTGTGTCTGTGGGCGGACGACTTGGCATGGTACAAAGGAAAGTGGCCTATTGTCATGGCCCCGTCCCTTCCGCGTTTCCATGCGATGGCGTCAATCATAGAGGTAAGATGCTGCTTTTTTAGCTTTCCTACGACATAACAATGTGTGTCTACACAGGAACGTGCTAAATGTGCTACGTAACAGGTATTCCAAATTACTTCCATATCAAGTTTTCTGATTCTAATCACAGAAGTATTTCTTTCTATTTCATTTTATGTTAAACACTTGTTTATGAATGAGGTTTAAGCTAGATTTAGCAGAGCAGGGGGAAACGTTACCATCCCGTTCGCTCCTTTGAAGGGAGGTTTCCAGTGACAGTATGGAGGCTTTCTGCCAAGGAACGTCCAAGATTTTGTTCTGGCCAAAGTTTGGCGTTGTCCATTCCTATATTAAGATCAATAATTCTGTGCTAGAATGATCATATTTTAAAATCTCAAGAGTTTTGAAAAATGGAAATCGACATCCCAAGCAATGTTTCCTACCAGAACTTGTTAGCTCCAGCGAATCCAGCCTTCTTTGTAGCATAACTGATATTTGAGATAATGCAATAAGGATGAGTCCATTTGCAAGATGGCATCTGGAGAAAATGGCCTTGTTGAATTTATTGTTGGCTCACCTTGTCTTTCAGTCATATCCAAAAGGTGGCTAAGACCTGGGCTCGAATCCCAGCAGCCACAGTCCTTTTGACTAATGTTGACTAGGAATCATTGGCTTCAGTTGATACAGTCATGCAGCTCGCTATCCGATGCCAGACAGATCTATTCAAGCCTACCACCAAAGTCTCTCACCTCTGATACTTACTTGGCAAACAAGCTCATTGAAATGTATGGAAGATGTGGCAGCCATTATCATGCTCGGATAGTCTTTGATCAAATCCAGCCAAAAGATTCATTCAGCTGGGATTTGATGCTCACTGCTTACCTGCGAAATGGGAGCTTTGACGAGGCCAAGCGGTTCTTCAGCTCCATTCCTCACAAAACTGCTGTTGCAGGGACTGTGATGCTGAACGTACTTGCCGAAAACGGGGATCTCCCGCAGGCTAAAGAGATTTTTGATCGTATGCCCGAGAGAGATGTGGTTTCGTCTAGTGCTATGCTCGCCGCATACATAGAAAACGGTTTTCTTGAAGAGTGCGAGATAGTTTTTAACCAAATGCCGATCCTTGATATTGCATGTTGGAACTTAATGGTTACAGCATATGCCCGAACAGGGCATGTTAACGAGGCTAAGCTGGTGTTTGCAAAGATGCCTGAGAAGAATCTCGTCTCTTGGACAGCCATGTTATCGGCTTTCTCTCAAGGTGGTTTTGTCACAGAGGCTTGGGAGACATTCCTCGCGATACCAGCCACGGATTTGGGTGCCTGGAACGCCATTCTAAATGCGTTTGCGCAGCAGAAGGGAAACTTCTTTCTACAACAGGCTGAGACTTTGTTTGATGAGATTCCTGAGAGGAACCTGGTCTCGTGGACTGCAATGTTTTCTGTCTACGTAACAAACGGGATGATTAGAAAAGCCAAGGAGATATTTGATGGAATGCCGCAACAAGATCTCATCTCCTGGACTTCAATGCTCACGGCTTATGCCCAACTTGGGCATGTTGAGAAGGCAAAAGAGATATTTGATAGAATGCCTCAATGGAGCGTTGTTGCTTGGACAGTCATGATTCATGCTTATGGCGAGTGCGACCTTGTCAACCAGGCAAAAGAGCTCTTTGACACAATGCCGGAAAACAACATTGTTTCGTGGAATGGAATCCTGTCTCTCTATGCCCGGAACGGATATATGAAAGAAAGCCTTGAAATTTTCCATGGAATGCCTGCTTGGGACGTGATTTCCTGGACAACCATGCTACTCATGCAATGGCAAAGTGGGCGTATCAAAGAGGCCGAAAAGTTGTTTGAAAGAATGCCCCAGCGAAACCTGGCAGCTTGGAACGCGATGATTTTTGGGTATGCCCAGGCTGGTCAACTGGACGAAGCGAAGAAAGCTTTCAACGCGATGCCTCGTCGAGACATGGCCTCGTTCAACGCAATGCTAAGTGCCTACACCCACAACGATAAGAATACGAGAATGTTGGATTTAGCAAAGGTTCTGATTGATGAAATGCCACAACAAGACCTGGGCTGTAAAAATTCAATGCTTAGATTGCTTTCTCAGTTTGGCTATGTTGATGAAGCTCAAAATATGTTTAATTGTATGCCAGAAAGGGACATTGCTTCTTGGAATACAATTTTATCCGCATATGCGCAAGAGTGGCACATTTCTAAAATCAAACTTGTGTTTTATCGATTGATGCCTCAAAGAGACTCAGTATCCTGGAACACAATGCTCACTGCCACTGCAAGAAGCTGTGGACATGAGGCAGTTGCAAAAGAATTCCGTTTAATTCCAGAAAGAGATCTTATAAGTTGGAAGATTTTGCTGGCTGCTCATGTGCAAGAGCAAAACTTCTCTGGAGCTTTTAATACTGCTTACGATTTGAGTTTGACAGGCTTACCAGATTCAACATGTTTTGTGTCAATTTTATTCGCATGCAATCACAGTGGAAGTGTTGCTGCTGCCAAGTCATGGTTTGGCTCTTTAGTCTGGGAGTTTATGTTGAATCCGTCAAAGCAGCATTACTGTTGCATGGTTGACATTCTAGCCAGAGCTGGGCACTTGAGCGATGCAAAAGAACTAATTTGCAGCATGCCTTACGTCCCAGATGCTGCAGAGTGGACATGCCTGTTGCGAGCCTGTGTGAGCCAAAACAAGCTTGAGCTTGGAAGTGAGGCTGCAAGAATGTTGTTCGAGCTAGAACCAAGAAACAAAACCCTTTTTGTTACAGCTTCAAACTTGAATATGTTTTCTGCACAAACAAAAAATTTGCTGAAAATTTAAACTTTTATCAATTATTGTATAGATAAATTTCACTTTCTAATGTTTACAGAATGTAGATTTACACTCTTTCACAACTTGCATGAAAGAGGGTAGTTTGTATTGGCCCTTGTCACAAAAGCACGATGATGAAAGCGAGTTACTTTGGTATGATTGACAGCAACTAACAAGGCAAGCAGATCCTGGAGTGCTACAAACCTTTATGCAATTGGACACTTTGTTTGCATGGCTGATGCAAGAAGGATTTTTCTCCGCTGGAACCATTCCTTGTGTTTGATCGGGAGAAAACACTAGCAAGCTTGCTAACACCAAGATCACAATCTTCATCTCTAGCCTCTCTCTCAATTGAAACATCTTTGAGTTTCCAATATTTATCAATGAAATGGCTTTGGATGCTCCGATCACATTTTGTTTTTTTATTTATATCACATTGAGAATGCAGGTAATGACAAATTCACAAAGAACAGTTCTTATGTATGACTACAATTATAGGTAGTCATATTTCTACAATTACGTGCACGCGTGTTCCGTCATTTCCTGAAACACGAGTCTTGCTTAGTCTACGTTTCCACAAGACTATGTCTCACTATGAAATTAAAGAAAAGTTTGCCCGTCTCAGGATGCCCCCTTTGGGTATCCACTGCAAACATGATATCCGAACATTATGAAATCCGAAGGCTGCCGCGCCTTTGCGATCGATCTACACGCCCCATTGACGATCGAATTGGACAGCAATCAGCTTTGTGAGTGAGGGGACCCAAGAATTGAATTCGCTTGACATTTGCAGATCCCTCTCAGATAGGCGAGGTATGAAACCTCACCACACACTCCGCCCAGGATTCTCGTATCAGTACTACTTACTAGTGACAGAAAAATCACGTTTTTGACAATATCATCCATGGGTTACACTGTCTCCCTCTGGCAATTCAAAGCAGTGCAAACAAAAACCGAAGGTGGTGGTGCCCCCAGACACTGACACCCGAGCTACGCCAATGGCTGTGTTCTAGTTTAACTTGCCTGGAATGAGGAACACAGCGAATCCCAAAGACAAAATCCATTGAATTGTTGCGCAATGTTTGAGGCAACTACTTCTCAAAACCATGGAAATATTTAAACAACACAAACAGATACTTTGTCTAAACCATGGAAAGACTACCAACAAATATTTGTCTAAACCATGGACCATTAAAAGGTCACAAACAGAAATGTGGCGCACATGGTCCTTAGTGGCGGGCGCGGGAGTTTTGGCCGTTAGCGAATTTGGGCACATGGCCACAAATGTGGATGGGCCGGTACCGGTGCTACGTGGCACCAATAATGGACTTCGGTAGATAAGAGCCAGCGTGGTTTTGTGGTCTCGCAATTTTCCACGTGTGCATGCGACAAAGGAAATTGTCCTTGCAATTGGGAAGACGCCATTAAAAGTTTTTAGGTATACAGAAAGGTGTGGTGTGGTCAAAAGAAGAGTACTTCTTTGTGGTCGCCATAGCCACGGAGCTCTTCCTTCTTCTTCCTCTCCATTCTTTCTTGTGGTGTGGATCCTTTGATTCATCTTTGCGGAGAGATGAGCGCTGGAGTGGGAATTCCTGGTCCCTGGAGCTTGGAATCGCAGCCCATTAGCTCCGGGTTCTTGGCGGTGCCTGGGAATCGCGGTGCCCGATTCGACGCGCGAGTCGAGAGGTCGAGACATTACGACATTCCATCGAGCGACAGCGAGAGCGATGACGATCTGGACGACATTGGCGATGATTTCCTGGACGAGTCCGGGGATTTCATCGCGGATCATGGATCGGGCGCGGGGATCGAGAGCTGCGGGACTAACATCTCATCGCCCATTGAGATTTGCCCCAAGACCGAGAGCGCGACGAGGATCCTCCGCCAGAAATCCCGGCGATGCGCGGCGGAGCAGTCGCGGGAGGAGGCCTGGGAGCGGCGCCGCTTGATCGAGGAGCTCAAGTCCTCGTCATCGGAGCACTCGAGCAAGCTCATCGCGCGCTCCAATTCCGACTGTGGGCCGCAGCAGCCATCGCTCCACAGCGATGAGGATCTGGGCGATTGCCCGCGATCGAGGAGCCTGACCGAGGAGGATTTCGAGGAGCTGCGCGGCTGCATTGATCTGGGCTTCCGATTCAATGCCGAGAAGGAAGACCCAGTGCTGTGTAACACTCTCCCCGCGCTCGAGGTGTGCTACGCCGCCAATCGGCAGCTCCAGGATCTACACTCGCCCTCTGGATCGAGCGATTCGTGTTCGTCTTGGCAGGTCGCTAGCCCAGGTACGAGAATTTCTTTCTTTCTTTCTAGTTCCTCCTTGGCAGCGTAATTTAGGGTTCTTCGTGAGCTAACCACAAGAACGATGGAGAAGAAGCTCTGTTTTTCTCTTGTTTCTCTTTAGCTTTTCTTTGCAGAGCTCTAAAAGCCAGGCCTAGCAATCGCTCCTCTTCTCTAGAGGTGTGGTATCACTAAATTTTCCCAGGCAGCATTGATTCGTACTAGGATCGTTGATCGATTGTCTCGAGAAAACACTCACAAGTTCTGTCTTTTTGTTCTTGCAGGAGAGGAGCTCCAACAAGTGAAAGAGAAGCTCAAGCATTGGGCTCGTGCTGTGGCTTGCATTTCCAGGCAATCGCGCTAGCTGCTAGCTACCGAGATTTTCATAACGACACCAAAATTTTGGTAGCTATCTCCAAACAATGTGATATACCTCCACCAAGAACCCTAAAATCAATAACAAAGCTGTATAGAATGTTCTTCGCGCGATCGCTCGCAGCGCTCTTCAATCCAATCCACGCCAACGCCGCCGTCACGATCGCCGGATCGCGCGTCCTCACCGAGATCCTCCGCGAATTCCAGGTCCTGTCGAGCGAGGCGCTGTGGAAGCACGCCTCCGCGTGGGGGATCTCGAGCGTGGAGCGCATGGAGCTGGTGATCCAGTGGATGGCCGAGAGGGGCCAGATCCGCATTGTCCCGGCCAGCGATTTGGGGCTCCCGGGCGTGTCCAAGCTCCATATGCTTCCGGATGCGCCGTTCTCGCGGTGGAAGAGCGAGGATTCTCCCGGCGATTGCGCGCAGAGGAGGCAGATCAGGAAGCAGAAGAAGAGGAGTGGCGTGCCCAGGATCTTCTGGGATGTGTAGAGCAGATCCTCGAGTTTAGGGTTCTTGAGGATTTGGGGATTTTAGGGTTCTTGAGATTTAGGGTTCTTGGGAGAGGACGAGAGAATGCTGTTCCCATCGACTGCCCGGCGGATGCGGCATTTCCGTCCGCGGGTAGCGCTGGGCGACACGGAGACTTTTACGCGGCTGGTGACTGACATCCTGCGCGAGCACGAGATGGTGACGGTGGACGAGTGCTGGGGGCATTTGCAGGAGCGAGTAGAGCACGGGGAGCTCAAGAGCAAGCGCCACATGAGGCGGCTGCTGCAGTGGATGGGCGATATGCAGATTCTGCGCAGGGAGAGCGTTCGATCGGGCGGCCCGCCCGTGCTGCTGCTGTGGGATGCGCCGCCAATCCACAAGGAGCGGCAGCCGGATCCAGATCTGTCGCGAGAGCAGCGCGGTAGCCGGTCTCGCGAGTGGCTCTGGAAGCCCAGGAAGATCACGCTGTGGGGGGATAAGAAGCTGGATTGGATCTAGCCTGTAGCGATCGAGTTCTTGCGTGGAGGAAGTTATTTTGGATTTTTTCTTTCCTTGTCCGCTGTTGCTTGAAGAAGTCGCCCAGTCTGGCTGCTTCTGGCAAGTTTGTCAACAACAGACAGGCACAGGACGACAAGTTGGCACCATCGAATTTAATAGCCTCGCCACTGCCAGTGAGATAAATCTCTCTTCCGCGAGCCTGGGAGTGAAAGACTGGCCGCTGGGACTGTGCTACCCTGTGCTCGCTCGGACGACACAGAGAGCTTGTCACTTTTGACGACTAGAATGAAGATCATAGCTTTCTTCGATCGATGTTTACGGTGGATTAGCTTTGATCACGGAACAAGTGGCTCGTCAACCAGGTTTGTTGGTTTTGTCTGTATCGATTAGTTTCATCGCTTTTTCTTTCTTGTTTCTTCTCAGGCTCGATGGATTGAGTTTGAGGCGACTAGACAAGGTCATAGCCAGATGCTTCTGGAAAGAGCCAATTGGTATTATAACATATATTTTATGGTTTCCTTCCATTGGATCACTTTTCTGTCTCGATAGATTCTACGCGTGCTGAGTCCTTTCAACTTTCACATATCATTTCCTGAGATCATCGGCAGGTACGAAATTATCCGAACAGTAGAAGCGGAGATCAAGGTTTTGATTGTTGGACAATGCAGGAAGGGAAAAGTGTGAAACGAGGAAGTGTCTTTACGACCTTAACACGGAATCGTGACGCAAGTGAAAAGCTTTACAGCAGTCAAGCACTGCTCAAACAAGTTGAGCTTTAAGGTCTCGTCTTAATCTAGGACACGTTTCTTCATTTTCAACTTTTCTTTTTCTCACAGGTCAAGAACTGAAGCTGCCACCTCCGAAATTCTGTTAGATCAGAATCAAAGTAGCTGACCAGAACGACAATGATGTTCTTCACGTAAGCGTCAGCGTTGTTATGTTAGAACTCTTTTCTGATTTTAATCTCTGGACATAGGCAAAATCGATGCTTCACTGCATGCTTTGGAGCATCTGTACAACCTCTCTCATACTTGGCCGTTCCTTCGGATCCAACGTAGTGCACAGCAGGCCGAGCTTGACGAACTGCATCATCACTTCTACCGACGCTCCGGTCTCCAGCAAGACGTTATCCACAAACTCCTCTATTCGAAGCGTCTCGCTCGACAGCAAAACTTGAGCCCTCACCCACGACACCAGGTCCATTCCCTCGGCTGGAAAGTTCCGGTCGAATGGAGACTTCCTTGTTGCCAGCTCGAGCAGCACAACGCCGAAGCCGTAAACGTCGACCTTGTCGCTCAGTCTCATCGTGTAGCCATACTCTGGAGCAACGTACAATCAAGGTTAGTATCTGGATACGAGGAACAGGAGGTGAAAGCTTACCTGGAGCCATGTATCCCAGAGTTCCAACGATCGCAGATGCAGTCTGAGGATCACGCTCATACGTGAGCTTGGCGATCCCAAAGTCCGTCAACTTGGCTTCCATATCGGCATCCAGGAGTATATTACTGGCCTTGACGTCGCGATGGATTACCGAGGGGACACAGTCGTGGTGCAAATAAGCCAGTCCGTGAGCAGCTCCCAGCGCGATCTTCCACCTCGTCGGCCAGTCAAGTTGATCGCCATTCTTGTGCAATGCAGTGTCGAGGCTCCCGTTCGGCATAAACTCGTAGACGATCATGTTGGAGTCGGGCTGCGAGCGCCTGTAAGCGACGAGCTTCACCACATGCCTATGCCGGAAGCTGCCCGCCGTCACGATCTCTCGCTCGAAGCTCTGGTTGGTATCGTCGTCTTGGCTCCGGTACGTGAGCTTCTTCACTGCAAAGACATGGCCGGAGGAAGTTGTGACGCAGTAGACGACGCCGTGAGCACCACGGCCGATGATATTGTCGTCCGAGACTCCAGCGATCGCCTGGGCTATATCTCGCAGTGAGACTGCACGCCGGGAGGAGACGAAGAGCTTGATGGAGTCGAGCCTCTGCTGTTCGCGGTGGAGGCTGTACTTCTCCGAGGTTTTCTTCACCGAGATCCAGATGACCAACACGAGAAGGACGAAGAAACTCAAGGCCGACGCGAAGGCGATGCCGATTATAGCTCCCGAGCTGAGACCACGCTTCGTGCTTCTGGGTTGAACGCTGGTCGTCGAGTTACAGCTGCTCGCGACGCACAGGCCGGGATTTCCAAGGAAGGAGCTCGCTGGGAATTGCTGCCACTGGAGCTGGCCGCTGGGCAGCTTCCCCGAGAGCTGGTTATAGGAAAGGTTGACGGAAATCAGCGAAACCATGTTGCTGAGAAGCTGTGGAAGGCTTCCTTCGAGGGAGTTGTGCGAGAGATCCAAGCTCTGGAGCATGTCGAGGCTGGACAGAGCTTGAGGGATTGGACCAGTGAGCGAGTTCCAGCTGAGGTTTAAGGCGATGCTGAGCTGCGAGAGCTGTCCCAGAGCCGGCGGGATCGCTCCTCGCAGCTTGTTCTCTGCGAGGTTGAACTCCATCAGACCACCCAAGCTCGATATCTCGTCCGGGATCACTCCGGTCAGCTCGTTTCTCTGGAGCCGAAGATAGTTCAGCGACGACGATGAGGTGGCCGCCATCGAGAGCTCGCCATGGATGGAGTTGCTGCTCAGATCGAGCGTCGTCAAGCTGCTCGAGTTCCAGAAGGTGGCGGGGATGGTGCCATTCAGGAAGTTGGAAGAAACGTCGAGGTACCCGAGCTTGGTCAGTCGGCCAAGTTCGTCAGGGAGAGGTCCTGAGAGGCGGTTTCTCTGGAGCTCGATCCGGCTCAAGTTGGCGCACGACCCCAGCTCAGGAGGAACCGGTCCGCGCAGATCATTCCCGGCCAAGTCAAGGAAGTAGAGCGCACTGTTCTTGGCGAAATCGACAGGAATGCTACCGTCAAACAAGTTGTTGCTCAGCCTCAAACGTTGAATCCTCGAGCAGTGCCTCGCGACCTCGTCCAAGGTTCCATTCAGCTGGTTCGCGAGGGCGTTGAATAGACGGAGTTGTCCGGAGCTGCACAGGCTTTTGGCCGGGATCTTCCCGGTGAGGAGATTGTTGCTGAGCTCCACCTCGGTCAAGTTGTTCGTGGCTCCAAGCGATGGTGGTATCTCGCCATGCAAGCGATTGGCATCGAGATAGAGTACCTGGAGGTGGCGGAGCTCGCAAAGCTGTCGAGGGATCCTACCAGTGAGCTGATTGTCCGCGAGCCGGAGCTCCAGCAAGCTCGTGGAGTTTCCAAGCTCGGGTGGTATCTCTCCGGTGAGAGTGTTGCTCTCCATCCTGAGTGTTTGGAGCTTGCTCAATCGGCCAAACTCCCGCGGGATGCTTCCATTGAGCCTGTTGCTCGAGACAGAGAGATAGGCCAAGCTCGGACATCCTGCCGCGATCTCCGGTGGAAACTCTCCCGTGAGCTGGTTGTAGGAGAGATCCATGATGGTGACGAGCTCGAGAGCTCCCAGGCTGGACGGGATTCTTCCGGAGAGATGGTTGTAGAAGAGATAGAGGCTCGTGAGGCTCGAGCAGCCGCCAAGCTCCGGTGGGATTGGACCCGAGAAGGAGTTCCGCGACAGATCGATGCGCTCGAGAGCCTTGCAGCGGCCGAGCGATGGAGGGATCTCGCCGGAGAGGTTGTTCTGCGAGAGGCCGAGCTGCTGGAGCTGCGTGAGCGACGAGAAGCCATCGCGCGGGAGCGTGCCGTGGAAGAGATTGGTGGAGAGATGGAGGGACGTGAGGTTGGCGGAGGTGAAGATCACCGGCGGGATCTCCCCCGAGAGGGAGTTTTCGTAGAGCCAGAGGTCGGAGAGATCGGGCAGGACGCGAGTGAAAACCGAGGCTAGATCGCCCGAGAGGTTGTTGGTGTTGGCGTAGAAGCTCTGGATTCTCGTGAGCCGCGTGAAAACCTGTGGAGGGATGCTACCCGAGAAGGAGTTGGTGCCAAGATCGAGGTATCTCATCCTGGAGCAATTGCCCAGCTCTGGAGGGATCTCTCCCGAGAGATCGTTGAGCGAGAGATCGAGATAGACGAGCTGGGCGAGAGAGCCCACCGCGGGGGAGAGCGTTCCCGAGAGACCCATCTGCTGGAGCTGGATGGATTTGACGCGGAGGGATCGTGTGTGGCATTTGATCCCTGTCCAGGCGCAGGGGCAGGCATCGGATGCGTTCCAGGTGCTGAGCGATCGAGATGGGTCGTGGAGAGAGCTCTTGATGGCGATCAAAGAGGCGACCTCGTTGCGAAGCTCCTCGCTTGGTGGGCAGGACAGGGAGGAGGTAGCGAAGAGGAGGAGGAGGAAGAGGGCGCTGGGGATTGGAGCTGGATGGTGAGACGCCATACCTGGACGAGCATTGGAGAGCCTCCAAATCGCGCATTGGAAGGGCATTGATGGGTTTTATAAGAGCCGACAACGCGTCGACCGACACTCGCGTGTGAAACGAGACTCTTGTTTGGAATCTCGCTCGCAACCGGCCAATCCGAAAAGCGATAAAAAAGGCACGCACTCGTGTGTGAGAACATTCCAAGAAATGATCATTGGTAGCCACAAAGGTGGTTCTTTCTTCCATTTGGGTTGACTCTCCATCCAAAAGTCAACCCAAATGCCTCAAGAGGGCAATTGCGTTCTTTTGTAGCATATACCCAATATGCCATGCCATTCTAAACCATGCTCAATTCACGAGCTTGAGATCTCTGTGATCTCATGAAATGGAAAACATAGTGGCCAGCATCCGATCGTGCACAGCGTCGAGGGATCTGGAGCAGGCCCGGAGCATCCACGCCCGGGTTCTGGAGAGCGAGCATCGAGACAACACCCTTCTCGCCAACTTGCTCATGAAAATGTATGGCAGGTGCGGATGCCCAGGCGAGGCACGCAAGATTTTCGACGCCACGCTCCATCCCAACGCCTACTCGTGGAGCATTCTCATTGCTGCGTATGCTTTCAACGGCCAGCTTGATCTCGCTCGCCAAGTTCTGGAATCAATGCGAGAGCCCGACGTCGTCTCGTGGACAGCGCTTCTCACAGGCTATGCCCAGAACGGGGATCTGGACTCCGCGCAAACAATCTTTAATTCCATGCCTGTGAGAAACGTTGTTTCCTGGACGGCCATGATCACTGGCTATGCCCAGCTGGGCCAGTTTCTAAAAGCCGAGCTCTTGTTCAAGGCCATGCCAGAGAGGAACATAGTGTCTTGGACGGCTATGGTTTCTGCATATGCCCAGAACAGGCATTTGCAAGAAGCTCGCGCCTTGTTCGATTCCATGCCCGAGAAGAACGTCGTCACGTACAACGCGATGATCCAAGCGTACGCCGATTCCCGAGAGATCGACGAGGCGAGAGCTTTGTTCGATCGAATGCCCTCGAGGAACGTTGCGTCGTGGAATGTGATGCTCAAGACTTATGCCGAGGCTGGGCTTGTGGACAAGACGGAGAACTTGTTCCTGGACATGCCCGAGAAGGACACCGTCTCGTGGAACATCGTGATCCAATCCTACTTCTCCAGCACCAAGATCGAAAAGGCGAGGCAGGCCTTCGCAGAGATGCCTCGCCCGGACGTGGTGACTTCCAACATCATGATCGCGGGCTTCGTCCAGAACGGGCATCTGGACGACGCGAGGAAGATCTTCGACGAGAGGAGCTCGCAGCTCGACATCGTCTCCTGGAACACGATCATCTCGGCGTACGCGCAGAGGGGAGACTTCGCAGTGGCGCAGGAGCTCTTCGATTCCATGACGCACCGAACGAAGATCACTTGGAACGCTCTCTTCTCGGCATACGCCCAGCACCGCCGTCTGGAGGAGGCCAAGCTTCTCTTCGATCGAATGCCGCACGAGAGAAGCACGGAGATTTGGAACGCGCTGGCGGCGGCCTACGTCCACGACTCGCGATTCAACGAGGCCAAGCGATTGTTTGACGAGATGCCCGAGAGAGATGTCTTCTCCTGGACGGGGATGGTGGCGGCCTACACCACGAGCGGTAACTTGGATCTTGCCAGGAGGATGTTCGACAGCATGCCCGACAAAGATCTTGTCGCCTGGAACTCGATGATTGCAGCGCACTGTCGTGTCGGGAATGTGGACGACGTGCTGCGCCTCTACACCGGTCTGCTGCTGGCCGGCACTGTCCCCGACGAGGTGACATTCACGACCGTGCTGGGAGCTTCCAGTCACGCGGGGCTCCTGCGCGAGGGACTGGCTTACTTCGTCTCGATGACGCTCGATCACCGGATCATGCCTTTGCAGCGCCACTACCGCTGCGTGATCGATCTTCTCGGGAGGTCCGGGCTGCTGCTGGATGCCGAGCAACTGCTCAAAGGCCTGCCTTACAACTTCGCGGCGGATGACATCGCTGGAGCGGCGTTCCTGGGAGCTTGCAAGACGCACAGAGACGTCGATCGTGGAGCTCAAGTTGCGAGAGAAGTGATAGATATGGATGCCAAGGATGACACTCCATATGTGCTTCTCTCCAGCATCTACTCCGGACGAAGAGCTGTGTAGGAAGATAGTCAGTGGATTGAACATCGATCAATCGGAAAAAGCTTGTACCGGGATGACAACAAAAGCCTGTAAATGTGAGAAAGAAATAGACATCGATACGTGTGTCACGCTACCTAGCGTCGTCATGACTCGGACGTTGTCGTAACTGGCCCATTCCTCTCCTCCGGAGAGATATCCATTTCGAACACCAAAACTTCATCCGAGACGGGCCGAAGATCCTGTGTTCCATCGTCAAACTGACTACTCTCGCCGTTTTCCTTGCGTTCGAGACTGTCCAAGTCTACCGCTTCGAGGTCTGATGTAATGCCGACCAGGGTCTGTCTGTCTTCTTCGTCCTCCTCCCTGTCTCGCTTGGGCCGTGGACCTTCGCGTTTCAGATGCTGGACTTGGTTGGAAGATGTAGCCGTGTCAACCAGGTCCTCGTCCTCACCAAGAACTACTTCGCCATCGCTGCCGCTGCTGCTACTGCTGCTGCCGCTATCTGCTAAGGAAAAATGTATGTTTTGTCCATCTTCAGTCACGTGTGGATTCGTTTCAAGATCGTCTTGAAACGGAAACCATGGTGAGTCCGACCCAAAGAGGCGAGCACTGTAAGCAGTACATGTCAACTCAATGGCTACCAAAAACTAAGCTCGTTTTACTAACCTCTCCTGCTCGTCGCAAAGGCGAGCAGACTTGATAATCACCTCGGAAGAGTCCTCTTCAAAGAAGGCATCCTGCAAAAGAAAAGTGTAAGTGCAGAGGAAGAACAATGACTAGAAATACCTCTTCCGTGTCGTCGTTATCAAACATGTTGTATCTGAAAACTTTTCTAGTCAAGTTACCAGCCAGCGCAGATATACCATAATCACGATCACAAAGGTCATCTTCATCTGCTCAACTTTCATTCTGGTTCATTCGTCACTGGCAATGCTGACGATTGGTAACGTTTGACTCTCTCACAGCTTCCTTCAGACTCACTTCTTTTCCGTCGTTATTATTTCAGCAATGTGTGGAAACGAACATCAAAGACTCATGTATCTCCCTCAGCTTGCCCGACTAGACACCATTGCTTGCTGGGTATCGTAATGTTTTTTTCTTCTTCTGCTTAAGTTCCGAATGCTCAACGGTGACTTTCGTTGTGCCGCAGGCACTTACCGAGCCTGATTATGGAAGTGATGCAAGTTCTTTAAGTACGACTTCAACGAAGGTGTGCCTCTTATCAGATCAGACTGATTGTTTTTTTTTTTTAATCCGTACTTTCTGACAGGTGAAAGGAGGATGGATTCTGGATGGTCAAAAGAGATGGATTGGGAACAGTACATTTGCAGATGTTGCAGTTATCTTTGCAAGAAATACTGAGACTAACCAGATAAACGGGTACGTTTCTGTGTTTCGGTTTCCTAAACTCAAGATACTAAGCATTACAGGTTCATTGTGAAGAAAGGAACTCCAGGATACAGTGCAACCAAGATTGAGAACAAATCTCGTTGAGGATTGTCCAAAACGGGGACATCATTCTTAAGAACTGTTTTATCCCTGATGATGATCGTTTGCCTTGAATAAACTCGTTTGCGGACACAAGCAAGGTACTACTACTTCAATCTCCGATGTTTTATCTGCTGAGCGTTTTCAATCTGGTCAGGTGCTTGCGATTTCTAGAATTATAGTTGCATGGCAACCGATCGGCATTTCTATGGGTGTCTACGGCATGTGTCACAGGTACTTGAATTCTTCTGCGAAACTAATCTTTTCTTTTTTTTCTTTCCTCAAAAGGTATTTGCTAGAACGGAAACAATTCGGAGCTCCATTCGCTTCACTGCAAATCAATCAGGAAAAGCTCGTTCATATGCTTGGAAATATTCAAGCGATGACATTACTCGGATGGCGCTTGTGCAAGCTTTACGAGAGCGGTAAGATGACTCCCGGCCAAGCTAGTCTCGCCAAGGTAAACGTTTATTTCATATCGTTTCTTCAAGTTTGCTAAGCTCAGTGTCGTTCTTGTAGTCTTGGAACACTAAGAAGGCCAGAGAGACTGTAGCTCTGGTTCGAGAACTTCTTGGAGGGAACGGAATCCTGGTGGATTTCCTCGTTGCAAAGGTATTTGACTTGTTCTCGATTCTTTCTAGGATCTCATCACGAGTTTTTCTTGTTCAGGCTTTTTGTGACTTGGAACCGATATACACTTCTGGTCGTGAGGTCACAGGCATTGCAAGCATCAAACCTCGGCGATAAGTAAGCTCATTAGCAGCGATGTGATCACTGTTTTGGTCACTGCTGTTTTGTTTTAGAAGCATCTTCGTCAAGAATGGATGGATTCAAAAATAGCTGCGCATTTCTTAAGTCGCAGCTCTTCACATTTTTTGTAGGACGATGGTGGGCTGCTTCGGGATCAGCTTGATCAAGCTCTACGTCAAGCATGTGGAGAAGCTTTACGAGCGTCTGGGATTGAAATCCAAGCAGATTGAGCTTGACAACGGGACAACAATTCACTGCTGGGTGTCTGAGGAGAGCAAGCACCAAGGAAAGCCGCGCTTGATCCTCATCCATGGCTTTGGAGGAAAAGGATGCGTAGGCTGGGAGAATCAGATCGCAGATTTCACAAAGCACTTCAACCCGGACTTCATCTTCTTCGGCAAGTCAACCACAAGCAGCAGGCAGAGATCTGAAGTTTTTCAAGCAGAGTGCCTCATCAAGCTCCTGCGGCAGGAAGAGGTTGAGAAGGTGATGATTGCAGGCACAAGCTATGGAGGATTTGTGGCCTTTCGGATGGCTGCTTTGGATCCGCAGATGGTAACCAAAGTGGTGATTGCGAGCTCCGGAGTTCCGTCAAGCAACGACTGGATTCTGAACGAGTTCAATGCGACGCACATCCATCAAGTTCTGATCCCGGATTCCGTTGCTGCAAAGAAGAAAGTTTTGGATCTGTGTGTGTACAAGAAGGCTGCGATCCTGCCGAATTGCCTTCTGGAAGACTTGATGAACCTAAGTGGCATCGTCGTATTGACGACTTACAACTTTTTTTTTTTTGGAGTTCGGACAAAACAGAGATCAGAAGATTGAGACGGACTTTTGATCGGGTCGAAGAATGCAACGCCGCTTCCAACGTTGAATCAGGTACGTTTTTTTGGAAAAATGTTTATGCCGGTTGTGATGATTTTGGTTGTTGGATTGGCAGAAAGTGCTGATAGTTTGGGGATCTCACGATCGAGTGTTCAAATTGGATCTGGCTCATGAGCTGCAAAGGTAAAAAATCAAACTATCAACATCCAGTTCTTTTTCCTCTTGAGTTTGAATTGGACGAAGAATCAACATCCAGTTTAATTTGACGGAAGAAGAATTGTTTTTGGCAGGCACTTGGGTGAAACGTCTAAGTTGGTGGTGATTCAAAACGCAGGACATGTCCCACAAATGGAAAAGGCCAAGGAATACAACACCATCATCCTCAACTTTCTTTCCGAAGTCAATCCTTGATTTATTTTTCATTTGATCAATGTTGGAAAATATCAGCCCACATCCAAAAAAATTGCTTAAAAACAAAAGTAAGAAACACAACATAAATAAATATAGGTTTGGAATCCAAAAACTTAAATATGAATCGATCCTTGTTCAGAATCACCATATGTGCTGATGAAGATGGTGGTGATGGTATTAAAAACTTGTGATTGGAGGTGGTGCCTCTTCTGTTAACGTTTAAAATTGGCGGTCTGGAGCCTCCTAAACACATGCTGTGTCAGTAATTATGATTTTTGACCACATCAGCTGCCGAACCTCCACCTCAGCAATTGACAAGTTTAAATATTACCCTTTAAAAACTGCCACAATTCAGATGATCATAGCTCAAAAAGTGAAAAACCCTTACAAATCCCTCCATGTAATAAGGCCGTAACCATAGTAGTTAAATCTCATTGATTGGTTGAATAAACAAAACCAATCAAGCCTACCGGATCAATGCATCCTATAATCACAGTAGGATACAACTCTCCAGACCACGCAACCATCACCACATGCATTGGAATCAACTGCACAATGCATCAATTTACAGAAATTCACAAAACTAACCTCATGAATAGTAGTCTTCAGGATGTGTAGTCAGATCCCATTGAATTTTTTACAGCGTAATCCATAAATCAAGGAAAAACTAAGCTTTTGATCTCCACCCTGTATTAACGAACAATGAAATAAAGCTCTTTGAAACACGCCAAAAGCCAGCTCATCAATTCTATTCTTCTAGTTGTCCAATGAACCTGAAGCATATCATCAACAACCTTAAGGACAAATGCAATTATAAAAAATAATTTTAAACAGCAAAAAAAAAGAAAAAGAAATCAATAAAAACATGAGGCCTCCTGAATTTGAATTTCCAGCTCAATCAATAAGTGAAAATAAAGTACATCAAACACAATCCCAAACTTGATTACCTTCATGCTAAAAAAAATATCAAATATAATGCTTGAATTTTGTATGAAGTATATAAAATATATGCATCAGCACAAAACTAATTTAACACTGTAGTCAAAAGCAATAATAATATACTCATTGCCAGCAATCGACCGTGGAAAAGGTCCCATAAGATCAAATGCCACCAACTTAAACAAACGGGAAATTACAATTGACTCCAACCATCCTTTTGCAGCACGAAGGGGAGTAATGCGAGCTTAGCACCAAACGCAACTACACACATACCAAATAATATCATATCACATCTCCAGCCAATAAAAAGACCTAAAATAGAATAAAAAAAGAAGTTTATATAAAATATTATATCTTTAATCTACCTCAAGCATTCAAAGCAACTGACAAAGAGCCAAGAAACTGACTAAGGTCGGCAGTGGCACCACCCTTAAACTCATTGGCATGGGTTTTATCCTCCCCATGGCTGCTAACAGATGGTGGGTTAAAATTAACAAACCCATTGCTTAGTAGCCATCAGATGACTGACAAGAGGGTTGATCCTACATTTATAATCTGAAAATAGAAAACAATTAACCACATAAATAGAATAGAGACTTTTAAGTATATTAGTATGTTGCATTATTTCTTAGTTATATATAAATTAATTTACATAAAAATATAAAATATGGCATTTGCATATTATAATATTTTTGAATGTAGAAATTAGTAATTTCTTAACATCCAAGTTTATCCTAAATTGGAAAGCCAAGCTTTTGGTTAACTTAGATTTCATCATTGGGCAGAAAAACTTTTATCTTTTATGCTTTTACATTCTATCTAATCCATGCCACATCCACTTCAACCCTGCTGTGACAAGCTTGTTTAGGGTAACTCACATCTTTCTTGAGTCATTGTCAACTATTGATTGACATGTCCTTTTTAGGAAACCGCAGAGATTTCAGAGGAATGAAGATGAATGAATCATTTATCATTTTAAAGCACAAGCTGTTGGATTTCTTGGGCAATTTGTCCTATGTGATTCATTTATCATTTTAAAGCACAAGCTCCTGGATTTCTTGGGCGACTTGTCACTATGCTCTCAATCAGGAAATTCCAGTATTCTGCACATTTAATACAATAAAAAGTTTTGCAAGATGTGTTTAATCTAAACTTGATGACCATTTGCAGATTGTTTGATTTATCACTGCTCTGGAATGGCTGGTGTTATCTGAAGCCTGTTGCTGTTGACATGGCTCTGCTTCCAGCTACTCAAATGTTGGAATTTGTCACCCAACTCAGTCGATGCCAACAGCCTTCAGTGATCAGGTTTTGGAACTTAATGGCATAAAGGCACAAGAGCTGGATAAAGTGATTATACAGAAGTTTATTGAAGCATTTGACAGACAAATGGTGGTGGAATCACAAGTTTCAGCTTTGAATTGCCTACAGACCTGTTCATTCTGCAGTAGTTCAGTGGCCACATTTTTTTATC